GGGGGGGGTACTTAATACAGAGCTAGGCCAAAGAATGTTATCGCCTATCAGACAGGAAAGTTGAGCAGCTCTGAGTGGCAAGTTCATTACTCATACTATGTCAAATAAAGATTGACTCTTTTCCCCAGGCGTCACTAAGGCTTAAAAGTGTTTTATCTTTTCTTTATATATAAATAGTTGCACGTACTAAATAAGACAAATACTTGTGGTAATCTTATATATCTTTCTGAGCCTCTTTCTGGAAGCTCGATAAATTTAGTAAACTGTCACGTATCTTGAATAGGACTGGGCTATTTAATGTATTTCCGTTCACATGTTGCTCCCATATCTGGCGAGTCAGCAAAGTTTAAAATGATCGATCGTTTTTGAATTCTCTGATAATAAAGACTTACATGTTATTTTTGACACTTTAGCAATTCTTTCGTAAAACGATTTGATCGGCTAAGAAATACATTAACCGTGTCAGCCTTTTTTTCCTTTTTTTATTTGAATTTGGCTTGAAAAAAGTAGCGTAGTATACTTCAATTCATACGAGTTACGATATGATGACAAATTGGCTGGCACGCCATTCGCAGACGCCCACGGTTATACGCTCGTCTTGCTATTAAATACACTTTACTTTATCGGTGTAAAAAAAAGTCAGAAGCTAACTATAAGTATTGTTTATGTAACACAAGTCGAGCACGGTTATTCATGTCATGCTATATTAATGGTACATTAGCGCAGACGAGACTGGCGTCCGGTTTGCAAGCGCTAGTGCAGCCTGGTTTTTGAGTGCCGAGCATGAGTATAGAGTTGTTTGTGTCAACCATCGCCAGCTAGGTTAACGTTGCACCCTACAATAGCAGACAACTTATTTTTTTTTTTCTAAAAACAAAAGTATTCGGTCAAATGAAGTCCATCTTTGATGAAGTTCTAGCGACCCGAAAAATCAGCTAAATCTAACCACTTGAAAATGTCGTTTCAGGTTCGACAAATAAACAGACAAACGGACACAAACTTCTCTTACACAGATAAATAGAATCTGCAAGCAAATTATATTTTTGTCAGATTGTTTCTGTAGACTAACACGTATTTGCCCGTAGTTTACTCGGGACTCAAAGTACGAGGTCAATATCGCTCCCGGATAATGATGTTACAATAGGGAGGGATTGTGAGTGCCTGTACTCCTGTCAGCTTAGCGAAAGTTATACGAGCTAAAAAAAAAAAAAATTGACGAGGAACTGAATTCGCAAACTTCAGAAAAGTTTGCTTTGGTAACAATGGACCTCACCTGTGTAAATGATACAGCTGACAGGACACTCGCGGCAGAGTTCTTCCATGAAGCATGGCTTATTTGCAGTGTTGATCATTCTAGCCCATACATAGAACAGAATTCAGCTGAATATGCGATTAAACAGAAGACCTCAATGAACAATTTTTTTTTTTTTTTTTTTGTATCTCACTTGGCTATAGTTGAAGCCGATTTTCAGTAATCCATTCGGAGTAATGATAACGTATATCTATATTACATTTGTGCCATCAAAACAATGACTACTACGACCATATATGAAATTGCGTAAATTGGCGAAATGAGGTACTCATGGTCAGATACAGTGGGAGAGGTCAGGAAATAATCCAGCGTAAATTGTTGTCTATTAGTTCGGTATTGTTGAGCATTCAAAATATAATTTATCTAGAGACCCAGCCTGAGCTTGATGTCGGTGTTATGAATCACGAATCATTAATAAAAGAAAACGAAAATGCGAAAAAAATAACTACGTCAATGACGCCAGAGGCTACTGAAGGCCCGAATAGGGCTCGAAATTTAAAACGCTATTTGTTGAGTACATCAAATCAGTGTTCGGACAACTCGTTCCATAGAAGTGTGCCTAGAATCCAGCTTTCGTTTTTGAACAATGCTCCCCTTAACCACCACTTAGCCTCGCAAGATAAATATGCCAGTATTGACAGCTTTGACCTTCCGGTGCACTATCGACTCGTCTTAAATACAAACAACAGCAGCAATAACTGCACCATGACCAGTGCAGATGAACCTGTTTTCAATGCCCTGGAACGAGGTATGTCGAATCTCGGCCTTAGTGATTCGCTATTCCCTAGTCGTCGTCATGACCGGCTTCGTGGAGCGGGACTAAACATCATCATAGGTCAGCCAGCTCAGCAGCAGCAACAAGGCACATTACAGCTGCCTCGGGAATATGGTCAGGGACCAGGACACGACGTAATTCAAATACACTCAACACAGCCAATACAAATACAGTTGCCAATGTTATCAACTACGATGCCATCAGTAGCGCTTCCTCAATTATCCACAACTAATGAACAATTTCGGCAAGGTACACCTCAGCAGAATACGCCTACGCCGAAAGAACCGTCTGTTAAAGGACACTCAAAGGAAGCGCTTGTAGTGAAGAACGATTGTAAGGTACATCAACAGAAAGAAGGGTCACAGCAAATACTTCTGCCTAAAAGATTCCTTAAGTATGGGAATGTGTTGAAAGGACCTTTTCAGAAGGCACATGCGTCGAAACGGCAACGGCACCAACACCAGCAGCAAAAACCACAACCCCTGCTAAAGATACCTGTGCCCTATATAAAACAACCACAGCAGAAGCCGCCGGGCCTTCAGGTGGTCGAACGATCTTCGGAGTATTGCTACTTACCACACAATTCGCAACCTGGCCATTCCGATACACAACAACTAATGGATCAGTGTTGCTTCCAAGGCTGTCATAGGCTCAACGGCGTACAAGCGCATCGTTTGTACTATAAGGCCGATGAAACAAGAAAGAAGCGACAAGGTTCAATTCAACAAGGAAATCAGATCAATCACGATGTGGGAGAGCGCCGAAACGTACATGGGGTTAATTCTTCGGTTTCGAGTGAAAACGCACAGCCCAATCCCAGAGACCCTGAAAATAAAGAATTAGATCCCCCAGCTCAGTACCGGCGTCAAACGCTAACGACCGAATTAAGGGTTCAACAGTGCGAGAACTCCGGATCAGGATTTTGTGGCCGTTGAATGGAAGAACGGGCGTTTTACGGAATTTTCCTGACCCTGATAGAAAAATCCTGAGACAACTACATAAAAACAGAAGAGCTCGAAAAATTAATAATATGTGCCACGAACGAATATAATATTCTACGTTTAAAAAACCAACGCAAAACAGGCTGTCTTTAAACACTAAGTATAGAGGAAAAACAGATTAAGAAACCAAGTTAGGTTTCAATAGAAATTCACTCAAGCTGAAACACTGGTAACTTGTACGACAGCACTTAAGAGCCAGCGTAGTGTTGAATTCTTACACAATACATCATATAGCACAGATTACTTGTATCGGTTAGATGTCTTCGTTGTGCGCACCGTTCTCCGAAGTCAACTTGACCAGGTTCGAAGCCAGTATGGCTATTGTGAATATGTATGTAGATTCTGGTTTCGATTATAATCCATGTAACTGCAGGTAACTTGCCGCAACGTGATGCGTATGCTGACATCGCTGCCTTACGCGAACGATGCGCAAGGTCAACATTTATTTCAAGAGCAAGACAAGTGTGGACTTACGATGTCTTTATAAAAAAGACGGAACGTGTAAATGGTATATCATCTACGTGTTTCGACTAAGCCCGAGTTACTCTTAATTACGGGGCAAAGTATGACCGACTGCATAGTGAGGTATGCTTGCCCACCAATTTCCCTTTTTATAGCAGGAAAGGCTCGTAGTCTTAGACTGGGAGAAGCTAACGTTGGATATTCCCTTACTCAGTATAGTAATTGAGACGTTTGGCCTCGTCATCAGTAACCAGGCTACGTGGCTTGTGATTGCTGTGCCAACGATCAATGAGTGAGAAACTCAAAATAATGAGCTGCATTCGTTGTTCTGGTTTTTGTGATTATCTCGTACTAACAGGTGTCCATGGTGTCCCTTGCACGCCATATGGAAAAGTAAGTTGATTTCCCTTACGTCGAACTTTGTTTCTCCCAATGGCAATGCCGTACCCTCGCCTCGTTCCTCTCCAGCTGGCGGTAAAGAGATTGAACCATACCTTGTTCATGCTGATCGTCTGTTCCAGACAGGTTTTTAAAGGTCCGCTAATTGCACGTAGCATACATCACAAACATTTTCAACCTGGCCTGAAGTCAATTCACGGTACACCAGTTTTAACCCTGTTTGCATTTTCCGTAATTGGGTTACAATTGTGTAACACGTGCTACGGACAACAAGTACTGGACCAGTGAGCGTTTCGAAAATAGGCAGCATTCTAATCTTATTTCTCTAGAAGTAAACTTTTCTACTTAGCAAATTCTATAAGGCTAGATTATTTTCTAACGAAATTTAATTCAAAACTTGTTCACTTTCAAGCTCCGCGAGACTCGTTGATAAGAGCTTGTACTATATATTCTCTGTGAGAATTGCGTACATCTTCTTTCTATTGATGGTGCCTGTGGCGGCATTTTCGTTAGGTAGGCATATCTAAACTGCGGTGGAAAGGAAAGTGTTGATCGAGGCCTCTTGTTTTCTCGTAATCCCACCGATGGACCATAGGATTGTTCCACCGCGGATGTAGATCACGGCCGATAATGTTAATTCGCTTAGATAGTTGACCTGCTGAATTAAGCAGGCGAAATGCTTCGCCGAAACTCCTGCGGGCCGCCTATCCGACACTGAATTTGCTTAGCCCATTTAGAATTGACATATTTCAGTTCTATGCACAGTTCAGCCGACGCCTTTCCTGATTTATGATAGCTGAAATCATTCGTTTCGATAGGGCATTTGCCCTTTAAGGACGTCTTTACGTAATCCCATTACGGGTTCATCTATAGCACGAAAGTGACCGAAGTTGAACTCAGCACAATCTGTGGTTATCGTCATCAAATAGACGAGAGTAACTATACTGCATCGCAGATTATCTATGGATCTCTGGACGGAACCAGGTCAAATGGGGTACCTGAATCGTGTGTTCATACGTATTATAAGGAATAGCCGTTGCATCACGCGCTTCAGTGAGCGTTTCTGCTTTGGTGTAAATTTTTCCATTGATCAGGTCGTTTGTGACCTATCATTAGAAAGTAAAGGAAACGCCGCATGCAGACATGCAGTTCGGATGTAAAGATATTTTTAGTTAAACTCTAGGTATCCCTATTCGATTGGCCGATGACTTCATATAGGATCGGGGTTCTTGTGGGAAAAAAATCGCGGATATTTGTCTCTCATAGGCCAATTGCCTTTCACTGTTTGTCTTCCGCGTCGTGGCAGCGAACAATCTGATTCTGCTTCGCAGAAGACTACGAAGAACACACAAGATGCATGCAAACCCTTGTCTTCGTATGCAGTCATTTTCCGGATTTTAATCGATTTCAACAGAAATAGTAACCCTAATGAATTCAAGCATCATCAATAACCGAATTATTCCTCAACGGCGCACTACTGAACTCCTTCAACAGTCATTTACGATGACTTCAAGATCGTACGGTCTTACTACGAGAAACTGGTCTGCGTTTTATTTAGAGAGATATTAATCAGATTGGTATTAGCTTCCAACGACGCATTTACACACTACATAAAATAAGCCCTCCTCACGAACCGTTTAAGACCATTTTAAGTACTCTGTCTAATGCCTTTTCGCATCTTATCGCACGCCCAGATGTCACAAACTTCGTCGACAGCTATTTTTAGCGCGCCCACCCCAAAAAAGAAACGTCGGTTCCGGAGCCTCGGCATCGAGCCACTAAATCCCGTTAAATCGATCGATCCCGCTAAATAGTAATTAATAACTTTTGTTTCGTTCCATTCAACAGAATAAACGTCAACCTTTTAGAATATCTTTTCTCTTAGCGTTCCCTTTTAACGGTCATATATAGAAACGGTAGTTGTCAAACGGTTTGCGATAGGACAAAGCTTTTTACAAATCGCATTACAACTGCTGGATGATATCGGTATTTGTCTGTTTATTAGCGTTTTGTATTTGCCTACGTTTTTCTAGTGAAATCAATCGTTACCAAAGCGATGTGCCACTCTGGGGAGCGTTCATTACAAAGGTGTCGTGGCATATTATTTAGCCTTAGTATTTCAAGCAAGTGGATGTTATTACGTATTAGGATAAGTGGAAGACCTCATACTACAATCGACAACAGTTTACTTTTAGAGACGTGTGTATTGATTAGAAAAATATCGCCGCGTACATTGATATACAAAAAAAAAAAACACGACGAATATCCAGTAATTTACACGCAGCCGCACTGGACGTCAGGTGTAGCGAGGAACGAAGGCTACAAAACCTTCTCGTTCACTTCGTTCGTTCGTGCTGTTCCCTGTTTACGTTCTATTACGATGCCTATAGAAACGTACATGTATCAAGTAGAAAGGAACATCTGCCTAGCGGAATAAAACGTTTCGAGTAATCAGG